TCTTAAGATATATAGTTTTTTTTTTAGATATATGTAAATATGAATGGTGAAACAACTAACCACAATGAGAATGACACGGCGACAAACTCTGATAAAGTTGCAGTATTAGACGCAGGTGCCCAATATGGCAAGGTAAAATTAGACTCATTTGTGCTTTTGAGGAATTCATTGTGAATAAATAACGGTTTGAGCTGTATATATGATGTGAAAGTTTTGATAAATTGGCATTTTTTTAAAAAAAATGTGTGTGCATGGGGAAAACCAACCAAAACGAGCATATAAATATATCCATAATTTATGTAAATTAACATGTTAATTCATTTTTCTCTCTGCTTTGGAGTTCAGCATTGCTAACATTTGAATATATGCTAATCATGTTATTTTCCTAGGTGATAGACCGTAAAGTACGAGAACTGTGTGTAAACTCTGAAATCTTACCGCTAGATACACCAGCATTTCTTCTTAAGGAAAAAGGCTTCAAGTAAGTTTTAAAAAAAAACTAGTATAAGGTTATTACTTCAGAATAACACAACATATTCATTAAAGCAATCCAGTGATTGTATTTATGCAATTCTGTACTGCCTGAGTCTATACTTTGCAATATCCTTATGATAACATTATTATACATTTTATCAAAAATGAAAAATGTATTATGCAAACATTACGTTCAGTAACAACATTATATTTCCCTCACATGCTGCAGTACTTTTGTGTCCCACTGTGAACAAAAATGTACCTTGGGTGGACCTCTATTAGATTTTAAAATTTAGTGAAGATATTTTGAATTCTTTCAATTTAGAGAATATTATGCTAAAATTAGAGTGACGTCTAAATTGCATGCTCACTGGTGCTGGTATTAATTTCACTATTTGGATGTTTTAAATTCACAGATTCACATGAGTTTTATTGTAATTTTACAGGTTCACATGGATTCAATTTCGTGGAATTCACTTATCAGTGAAAATAATATAAAAAAACAATTAAATTACATTTCATGCTATGCCCATGCGCCCCCATACCCTGGGGAGCAGATCTTCTGGCAACCATAAAATTCTGACAAGGAATCACATGTGGCCACAGTCTTCAACTGTGAACTGTCTGATAGTAATTTTGGCCCCAAGGAGGCCATAGAATGCTCCATGGCACCGCTGAATTGCAGTGCTCCCTCTTACAGTTTTTTTCTAGAAAAACCCCCTGAAGACTAAATATATATATAATGCTTAATTTTTGTTTTTAGAGCCATTATAATATCTGGAGGACCGAATAGTGTCTATGCAGATGATGCACCTCGATATGATTCTGAGTTATTTGAGTGTGGGCTACCTGTGTTGGGTATATGTTATGGAATGCAGGTAAATATATATAGATCATATCGTAATTTCTAAATCATGTGCTGTGGGATAGTTTTGACTGAATTAAATGCAACTTGATCACAAAGGCGCACCTGCTCTCGCAACCTAACATAACTATCTCACAATGCACATTTAATTTGAAATCTATATAGTCTATGTGAGATTTTATTTGGTGTAATTATTTATAGAAATATTTATACTATACATTTTTATTATTTGTTCAAATTGACACATCTTG